GTGAGTCTTGAACCTTGACATGTGGATGGTTGACAATGTATATAGGCATATGGGACTTGATTTGACCCTTGAAAACCTAAATTTCTTTGCAAGAACCAAAACCCTAATTTTGACTGTGTTAGGAGGCAATTAGACTGTGCAACCCTTGAGAGATTTTGAACCATTTGGAGATTGATCTTGACAAATCTTGAAGAATATGGGAGGGCAAATTTTGGGGTACAACACACACCAATCAGAATCAGAATAACTCAGAAGTTCTGATTTGATCTTTCCTCCAGAAGGAAATAACACTCCATATTTCAGAGTTCCTTTTATATATCTCAGAATCCTGACAGCAGCTTGGTAATGAGACCACTTTGGTTTGCTCATGTATCTGCTGACCATTCCAACTGCATAACAAATATCAGGTCTGGTATTACACAAATACCTCAGAGAACCAACCATCTGTTTGAAGGTTGTATCATCCTTATCCTCTCCATCAGAATCAAAATCCAACTTCTGATTCGTATCAGCAGGTGTGATAGCAATCTTGCAATTTTCTAGCTCAAATATATTCAGAAGCTCCAGTTCATACTTCTTCTGATGTAAGATGATTCCTTTCTCAGAGTATATAAATTCCATTCCTAGAAAGAAACTCATTTTTCCAAGATTTGTCATCTCAAACGCATTCATCAGAACTTTCTTGAACTCAACTGTTTCTTGTTCAGAACTTCCTGTGAGTAATATGTCGTAAACATACAAACAGACCAGAATCATATTACCTTCTGAAGTGTGCTGAACATAAACACCATACTCCATCTCACACTTCTGAAACCCCTGTCCCTTGAAAAATGAATCAATCTTGAAATTCCAAGCTCTGGACGCTTGCTTCAGTCCATACAGAGCTTTATTTAACCTGTATACCATCCCTTCCTGATTCTTTTTCACAAATCCAGGAGGTTGTGACACATAAACTTCTTCCTGTAATGGACCGTTCAGAAATGCAGACTTCACATCCAGATGTATCAAATGCCAATTTCTGTTTGCAGCTAAAGCAATCACCAGTCTGATTGTTTCGTGTCTAGCTACAGGCGCAAACACCTCAAAGTAATCTAGTCCAGGTTTCTGAAGAAAACCTCTAGCCACTAGTCTCGCTTTGTGTTTGCCAATTGATCCATCTGGCTTTAGCTTCTGCTTGAAAACCCATCTGACGCTGATGGCTTTCTTGCCTTTTGGAAGTTCTGTCAGCTTCCAAGTCTTGTTTCTTTCAATAGCATCATGTTCTTCTTTCATGGCATTCAGCCATACTTTCTTCTTGAGTGCTTCTTCAATACCCACTGGTTCAGAATCTACTAGCATGGCACACTGAACGATTTCTCCTTCAGAATCTATTTCAGTATCATGCAACATGCTAAAATCTGCAAACCTACTTGGTATTCGTCTGATTCTCTGTGGCCTCTGATCTTGTTCTGAATTTTCTCCAGAACTCGGAACTGTGCTGGCTTCTGGACTTTGTCCAGAATTATTTCCTTCAAAATTACCACCTTTAGAGTTACTTCTGGAAACTTGTTCTCCAGACCCCATGTCTTCAGAGTTTTCCCTTCCAGAAGTATAATCACCACCAGATTCTGGATCATCATCAGAATGTGGATCAGAATCAGATCCACTATTAGAATCTCCCTGAGATTCTGACTCATCTTCAGAGTCTTCATCTTTTGAACTTTCTGAAGAATCTTCAGAAACTAACCCTGGTGTTGGCGCTACACCAGAATCTGATTGAAGCTTGTTCCAATCCCATGTTTCTGACTCTTTCACAATGACGTCTCTGCTGATTTCAACTTTGTTGGTTTCTGGACAATAAAGCTTATAGGCACCTGTACTGTGGTACCCCACCAGTAACATTGTTTTGCTTCTATCATCTAGTTTTCGTCTTCTAGCTTCTAGAACGTGTTTGTAGCATACAAAACCAAACACCTTCAGATGGCTAACACTTTGCTTGTCCCCAGTCCATTTTTCTAAAGGAAAAATTTCCTTCAGCTTCTTTGTTGGACACCTATTCAGAACATATGCTGATGTGGCAACAGTTTCTCCCCATAACATGTGAGGTAACTTCTTCTCTTTCAGCATACTTCTGGTCATATCAAGCAAAGTTCTGTTTCTTCTTTCAGCAAGACCGTTGTGCTGAGGAGTATATGGAGCAGTAACCTCAAGTTCTATTCCATTCTCCTCACAGAACTTCTGGAACTCTGTAGAGTTATACTCACCTCCACCATCTGTTCTCAGAATCTTCAGCTTCTGACCACTCTGCTTCTCAACCTTCACCTTGAACTTCTGGAACTCAGTAAACACTTCATGCTTGAACTTGATGAGTGTTACCCATGTCATTCTTGTGAACTCATCCACAAAAGACACAAAATATTTTTTTCCTCCAAGTGAAGGTACTGGAAATGGTCCACACACATCAAAATGTACTACTCCCAGAGCATGCTTTGCTCTGGGGGCTACTTCTGATGCAAATGGCAATCTGGGTTTCTTGCCTTTCATGCATATCTCACATGACTTCTGAGGCTTCACAATCTTCGAAATTCCATGTACGATCTTCTTAGAACTTAGATGCCCTAAGCTTCTATAGTTCAAGTGCCCCAACCTCTTGTGCCACAGCTTACTGTCAGCTTCAGCGCCTTCTGCACTAAGACACTCCGCTTCAGAAGTTTCTACATCCACCTTTAATGTTCTGTTGCTCCCCTGCTCAGACTTCATAATCAACTTCTGATTAGAATCATACAACTTCAAGAGATTGTCCTTCATAACCACTGAGAAACCTTTCTCAATAAGCTGACCCACACTCATCAGATTGCTTTTAATTCCAGGAACATACCAAACGTCTTTGATCAGAATGTTTCTTCCATTCTTTACTCTGACTCTAACATTTCCATACCTTCTGCATTAAGGTACTTATCATCAGCACATCTGATCTTTGTTCTCCTTCTGGAGTCAAAGTCTATCAGCCATTGTTTGTTCCCAGTCAAGTGGTTTGAACAGCCAGTGTCCATATACCACCAATCTCCTGAACAATTTCCATCAGAATCAGAAGCCATCAGTAGCACAGGTTCATTATCAGAGTCTTCTCTGGCTATATTTGCTTCTTCTGATTTTCTTCCTCTGTTTCTACAGTCTCTGGCAAAATGGCCAAACTGTTTATAGCAGTAACATTGGACCTTCTTCTTGTCATACCTTTCCTTTCCCTTCTGATATTTCTTTTCATCAGAAGTTGAGGTTTCTGACTTTTGGAATTTATCACCATGTCTATTCTGCTTATGGTCCTTCTTGACAAAAGAAGCTTTCAGAGCTTGCTCAACTTCCCTCTCAGAAGTTCTTTCAGTCAGACGCAACTCTTGCGCTTCTAGACTGCTTTGCAACTCTTCTATTCTCATGGTTTCCAGATTTTTAGAATGTTAAATAGAAACAACAATGTAATCAAACTGAGGAGTAAGTGACCTTAGAATCTTTTCTATGATTACCTATTCATAAAGTGTTTCTCCACAAGCCTTCATCTCATTAGTGATCAGAATTATTCTGGAGATGTACTCAGAAACTTTCTCACTGTTCTTCATGCTGAGATTTTCATATTGTTTTCGCAGGGACTGAAGCTTTACCTTCTTTACTGATACGTCACCACCATAACATCTGGTCAGTATATCCCATTCCCCTTTCGACGTCGTCGAATCAACAATCTTCTCAAACACATTTTCATCCACACACTGGTGGATAAAGAACAGAGCTTTCTGATCCCTCTTCCTCATAGCTCTTTCTTCTGATTTTTGTTCTTCAGTAGCACATGCTGCAACTGGAACATAACCTTCAGAAACAAGATCCAGAGCATCCTGAGCACCAAACAGCACACGCATTTGTATCTTCCATCTGTTCCAATTTTTACCATCAAAAACTGGAAGTTTAGTGTTCAAACTACTGCCTCCATTCATCTTAAACCTTGCACAAGAAACTCAGATCTCAGATTTCTCACTCAGTGTTTCCCAAACCCACATAATCAGTGTGATTCTGTTTCAGATTTTTGTTCAAGATTCAAAAATCAAACACACAGCTCACTGTCACTCGTGTTTCCCAGAATTTCAGAATGAACCAAGAAGCTCTAGATACCAATTTGTTAGTGCAAGGTGATGAAATTGAGGAAGAAGAGAGAAATGAATAAATGTTAAAAGCTGCCACTAATGATTGAAGGAATTGATTGATATAAATGTAAACCTAGTACACCTATTTATACACAAAATGAATGCCACATAGGCCCTAATAAAAAATATCTACAAATGACAAATACTAAATTACCCTCTAATAATTTTTAGAATGTGGATGAGAAATGCCCTAACACAATGTCTTTTATTGTGTTTATACTTTCTCTATTTCATCTAATGAATGATGTGACTTAATGTATAAAAAAAAAGACACACCACTCAAATAATATCTAACTCTCAATCTCGAACTACATCTTTCTGACTCTAAAAATTTAAACATTAAAATAATAACCTTACAAGTCTTCGCTACCAAAAAAACTCTTAGAAATTATTCCTTTCAAATTACGTATTTCTTATTCCACCTAAAAAAACTAATTTTTTAATTGTGATTATAAAATATTTCAGCTACAAACGAAGTGTTATGACTACATTGTTTTCATCACTTTGTAATATTAACCTTTTTTTGTTGAGTAAAAATCAAGTGAGAATATAACTTAATCTTTTTGATAAGATGTGATATTAGCCCTGAAATTATACAAAAGGACAGGTTATATTGTGTGAGAGTAAAAAAGGCAGTTGTTTAATTGACCATAATATGGTTTGAACATAATTTACATTTTGCATCTTCTAAAAAAGCACACACGTGATGTATTTCCTTATTACACCAAACATTACTTTCTATCCATTTTTACTTCAGCTGGTGAGCATTATAATATGGACCTGTCCATCCCTACGTTGGATTTGTGCTAACAGCAACAACAGTACAACACCATGTTTCGATTTCTAGTTGTTGTGGCTGTAACAATGTTGGTGAGTTGTACGGATGCACTCAGAATGGCGAAAGCAGATGAATACACGCTAGAATCAGTTAGAGAATCTTTGATTCGACAAGAAGATACCATAATATTTAGTTTCATTGAGAGAGCAAAGTTTCCTCTCAATTCTCTCACATACCAACAAAACTACTCTTCCATTCCCAACTTTTCTGGTTCCTTGTTTGATTTCATTCTACACCAAACAGAGAACATTCAAGCCAAGGTATAATTGCTTCTTTTAATTGTATGATTTTTTTTTTGTTAGTATGTATGTATGTTTACTAAATAGATAATACAAAATGACGATCTATTATGTGTTAGACAGGAAGATACATGAACCCTGAAGAAAATCCTTATGAAGAAAAATTGTCACCACCAATTGTACCACATTACAATTTTCCACAGGTAATTTAGCATTATATAGCACTGATATCTTTGAATTTTTTTTCATTTATGTCTGTGTCGATATCAGACACTTACAATGATATTTATGATTACGTTTTATTTATTTATTTTTTTAAAATTATTATTGATATCACCATTAGTGTCGGGATCAAATACAGAACTTTATATTTTAGCAAAGCTCTTGTTTCGTGGTAGTGTAAGTGAGAATAACTATTATAAGATATACAAGTTTAGGAAAATATGGATCTCTCTTAAACTTTGTCTTTAGTTTTTGCATCCTGCAGCAGCTTCAATTAACATAAACAAGAACATAAAGAAAATATATTTCAACGATATACTTCCACTTTTTATTGCTTCTGGAGATGATGGCAATTATGCACAAACTGCATCCAACGATCTTACAATATTGCAGGTAAAATTAATTAAGCTATACATATTTTAAAAATAGATTACATGTGATTTAAATGTTTATAAAATCCTCTATAACCATAATTGAAAAATTGTGATTTGAAACAATTTTATTCTTATTCTTTAAAATATATACAGGCCATCTCTAAAAGGATTCATTATGGAAAGTTTGTAGCTGAGACAAAGTTCAGGAAATCTCCTCGTGACTACGAGCCTTTAATTCGTGCCAAGGTATTTATAAATAATGCTCTCATTCTTAACCATAGTTATGCATGGTCACTAAATTGAAGACAATATTATTCTAAATCTTTTATCTTTTGAGTTATGATTATTTTGTTCATATACTAATCATTTTTGGATAGTCATTTTTTTAAAGTTTTACTTGATTTTTAAACTTGTTACTTTTTGTGTAAAAATTAAAATTGTAAATGATTTGACTTTGTAGGACAGAGAAGCATTGATGAGTTTGTTGGTAGATAAGAGAGTAGAAGAGATGGTTCTAAAGAGAGTTGAAAAGAAGGCAATGGTGTTTGGTCAGGAAATGAGTCTTGATCCTAATGTCAAACGAAAATACAAGGTTGATCCATCGATAGTTTATAGTTTGTATAATAAATGGATAATACCCATGACAAAAGATATTGAAGTCGAGTATTTATTAAGACGTTTGGATTGAAGCCATTTAATACCATAAATAAAATAATACTCACAATTTTTTTATATGTTTAAGTGGAGACTCATTTTATTGATTCACCTTTCGTGCTTTTGAAAAGAGGGGGTGACGTATGCGGTGGATGAAGTGAGTAAAGAGAAGATTTTTCAATGAACCCTAGCAAGTAAACTAAGGACAGAAAACTCTTTCAATGCGAGAGCTTTTACGAGTACAATGATTAGGACTTAGAGGTTGAAGAATCATGTTGAACCACAAGTGTCTGAGATGGAAAAGTGGAAACAAATCTCGCTATCAAAAGAAGAAGAAGAGGGGGTGACAGATGCGGTGGATGAAGTGAGTGAAGAGGAGATTTTTCAATAAACCCTAGCAGGTAAACTATGGACGAAAAACCCTTTCAATGCGAGAGCTTTTATGAGTACAATGATTGGGGCTTGGAGGTTGAAGAATCATGTTGAAACACATGAACTTAGCAAAAACTTGTTCCTCTTCAGATTTTCGCCAAAAAGAGATCTGGAGCCTGTCTTGAGAAATGGTCATTGTAGTTTCGTCAGACATCTGTTGGTGTTGAAGAGAGCTTCCGAGGAAGAACAACCCTCGGGCCTGGTGTTTACCGTGGTTATTGGTAAACAACCGCTGATCCTCCAAATGGTTACTTATTTGGTTACTCGCAGGATCGATCAGATTGATCCTAAGACATAGGTTGATTTTGAGGTTTTGATTAAATTGGATAATGGTTAAATGACAATAAAATAAAGAGGCTTTAAGTAAATTGCATGAAGAAATAGGCTTGGTAAAATAAATGAAGGCTTGAAGTCAAGGACTTCGACAGGGAAAGTAAAGAAGAAAGCAAGTAAAGTTTCTGGAAAAAGTAAATGACTTTGATTAATAAAGGTGGTGTTTCACACATACATTCTCAACAATTCTTTCTCACACGCTGGGTACTCGAATCTATATGAGTGACTTTGTATATAATTGTGAACACACGCGAGAAACTGCGTGAACTACTACTATTTATACTAAAACATCCCAAGTAACCGTCGGGCAGTTACACTGCTTCGAGATGATTCCACTTGGCACGTTCTCAACGTTCGACGCTCCAGATCTTTGCACGTTGCACTTGGTAACCGCTGGAAACCGTTTTCCCTCCAAATGCTTGAATTTCAAACCGTTCCACTCTGAACCATCGAACACCTTCGTCGAGAAGCATCTTCGACGAGAAACACCTTCGACGTCGAAGGCAACTAACTTCTCCCTTGGAAGAAATCTTCTAAGTACAGTGTCATCTTTCGATGGGCATTTCGACAGACCCAGCTGATCGAAAACATCCTTCAGCTTTAATGGCTGATATTAATGAAACAAGGGTGTCGAATTTAAGAGCCAACAAATTGCCCCCCAAGAATGCCTTATTTCGACTCTGAAAGAAAAATGCATTCTTTGAAATGCCATTCGACACCTGTCTTTTCATTCTTAGTCACAAGTTAAATTGTGCACTTTTTGTTGTCTTCTACCAACCACTGACAATCCCAAGGAAAAGCCATCATTCATCCGTACCTAAGACGTCACTTCAGTACGGCGTGCAGTGTGCCAAACGTCTTTTCACAAATTGTCATCATGACAATTCCCAAAAACGAGGGCGCACGCTGCACCCTTCCATTTCTGCAGAACGGCTACAACAACAGGGAGACGCCACGTGTCCCACTACCTTCTGCAACATTAAATGGCATTTAATGTCCTCGAATTTGGGGATTTCCCCCACTACTATAAATAGCGGTAAGTACCCATTGTGGGACTTTTTACGCTACCTTGCTTTCAGAATTCCTCATTTGCATACAAACTCTTGTCAACTTTGCAAACCCCTTGTTCTTCACTTTGTCTTCAACCTTAGCACCAACAATGGCATCTGGTTCTTCCAACGCTCCTAGCGCCAACACTCCCTCTGGAAATGTTAAACCTAGGGTTTTCTCGACCGCTCCCGTAGTGACTCCCACGGGCCAACGAAGGGTCCCTGAGCCTTTGGACATTGCTGTACGTGATGCTTATTCACGCCACCTCATGATTCTGGTTGGATATTCCAACCAAATCTTTGCTATGTCCGGCCCATTGTACCCAAGCATTGCCGAGGCCATGAAGATCAAAAGTTACTTTCCGGTACTTGAGAGACTCAAACCGGTTGGATGCTCCAAGAAAGATGCAGAGGATAATGAAGATCCTACTAAAGAGAAAATCGACCTCCGTTTCTTCAACAAAGGTGTTAGGGCTTTCAGGTCTGGCCCTAGCCTTACTCCTGATTATAGTGCTTGGCTGGAAAAAATGGAGAAACGCCAGGCTTCGATCTGGAAAGACATGGGGATATTCGACCTGGTTATGCTGTCGAAGACAGGTCTTAACTATTCCCCAGAGATGTTGATAGCTTCTTTACTCTTCTGGGATTACACCCATTTCACCTTCCATCTTCCCTGTGGAATGTTGACTCCCACGCTCTTCGACGTGGCCGCCATCACTGGCCTTCGACCCACTGGGGACTACTTCGACCCGGAGGAAATGTCGGAGGATCAGATTGGATTCTCTGCCACAAAACCAACCTACACCACCTTCATCAATCACTACCACGATAGGTCGACAGATGCTGTGTCGGATGTCGAACATATTGCGTTTCTAGCCTTATGGCTGACACGCTTTGTGTTTTGCTCCAAGTCTTTACAGGTGACCAAGAAGATGGTCACCCTCGCCACTCAACTCCACCATGGCCAAAATATCTGTTTGGCAGAATTGATTTTGGCGAGTCTGTACGAGTCGATTAGCAACGGAGCGACTCTTTTGAAGATCATCAAGAACAGAGCCAGCCTGCTGCTTGCTGGACCTTTTTGGCTGCTTCAGTTGTGGCTCAATGCCACCTTCGAGTCTTTCTTGCCTAAGAGGATTCAAATAAATGAGCAGGCTCCAGAAATAGCAAACAGACGCGTCGAAGGCACCAGATTGGCTCTGTTGACTCCAACGGAAGATGGGCTGGAGCTTCAACAAACTTTTACAAACTTCGTTCTGATGTTTGCTAAAAGGAAAGAGTTTGCTTCGACCATGGCTCCGTTTGCTCGACGAAAGGTTGGCCCAGAGTGGTTCACAAGGCCACATCCTAGGACGTCGAGTGGTCCTCAGGTCGACGAACATACAACAGTGTGGGAGGCATTTCTCACACCAAGAATAATGCCCCTTCGATTCAAGAGCTCTAAGACTCACCTGAGTCTGATCGCGTATCAACCAAACCTGGTGTCTCGCCCGTTTGGTATTATCCAAACACTACCTTCTCCAATTTTTCCCAGGGAGAAGTCTATGTTATACTTCTGCAACGACTACACTGAAGAAGCTGCCACTAAGCATATCGGCAGATATGCTGGTCGAACAGTTCTTTCGTTGTTTGACTATCAGCTTAACTTTCTCTGCTCACCATCCTTCGAGGAGTGGTGGAAAAGTTACTACGCTGAGGAGTTTTTCGACGAGAAGGACTTCGTGGATGAGCTTCAGAAATCTTTTGTCCTTGTCTTGGACAAAATAAAGAAATGTAAGTTCATCCTTCCAAATTACTTTGTCTTTCTCTTTCGACTGCTAGCCTGTTAATTATTTTGTCTACTTTCAGTTGTTCGAAAGCCTGCAACCAAGAAGGCTGCAGAAGGCCAACAGGGAGGAGGCCCCTTAACAAAACCTCCACCATCGGCGAAGACTATAGCGCCGGCGAAGACCACAACAAACCAACAGGGGGAAGGCCCTTCGAAAAAGCCTTCTGCATCGGTAACCAGACTTTCATTATTTTCTTCTGGCTTTAATTTTTTGACTTTCGATGCAACTGCTAAATCGAACTCCAATTGGTTTTTTAGGCACCTTCGCCCAAGAAACGGCCAGCACTAACGGTCGAATCCGGGAGCGACGAAGAAGATGATTCTCCCCCTGCTCCTCTAAAAAGGCGAAAGCTGAAGAAGGACGTTCCTCTTCCTGAGGCTCGAACAATTAGAATAAAGGTTGCTGGGAGAAAGCCCAGGCCACCTCCAGTAATCATTGAGGAGCCAACGGAGGAGGAATTAAACGTTCTTCTCAATAAACCTGTCGAAAGCGACAATTCCAGCCCTGGGGCTGAAGCTACTTTACAGGTAATCTCTTTGATCCCTTTGTAACTCAGGTGTCGATACCTACGTTCGACTATGTCTCTTTCGAATTTAGAAGATTCTTCTTCTTCTCTTTTCAGGACACCACTGAAAGCTCAGCGCCAAGGACTTCTGAAACATTGGAGTCTGCTGAACTCAGCAGGCCACAAGAAAAAGAATTGGCGAACGATGAAGCCAATACTGAAATAAATGAAGCCAATGCTGAGACAGCAGAAAAACCAGCAGAAGATCCACAAACAAAAGAGCAACAGCCAAAAGAGATTCAGGTGGTGGATCTGTCGGAAGAGAATCGTGACGAAGGGGACCGCGGTGACGCTGGCGAAAAGGATCATGGTGACGCTGGCGAAAAGGATCAAGGTGACGCTGGCGAAGGGAACCATGATGACGCTGGTACTGCCGCAGCCCGAGTCGAAGAGAGTCAAGTCGAGGCAAATGCTACTCAACAGCCTCAAACCCAAGACAATGCTGTTGCAAAGGCTGTTACCTCAACAAAGCATAGGTCGAAAGAGGACTTAGAACTCTTGAAACAAACTGATCCTGTTAGCTATCTGAACGCCATCATCGAGAGCAAAAGTTCGTCTGATGCTAGTCAGGAGGTTCCTACTCTGTCGGGGAAGTCCACTGAAACTTCTCCTCTCGATGAGGCTTTGACGAAGGTTAAGGCTCAGTTTTTAAAGAAGGACTTGATGAAAGCTTTGGAGGGGGACCCTACTGCTCCATCATACTTGAGGGATGTTTTGAATGCCGTAGACTTGTTAGCTGTGCCTCCAGAAGTTTCAGGCTTTATCATGGAGTTACACTCCATTATTGATCAAGTCTCAGCAGATTATCGGCGACAAAGGGGCTTTA